TTCACTTGTTAATAATATTGTAACAATTGAAACACCCTAGTACATACGTAAATTATGCAACAGCAACACATTAGGACATTGAACATCCATTATAATTGTTTTCAAATAATTTTGATGCCACTGAAAATTATGACATAATGTAAAGTGAAAAAGCAGATACAAAACTATATCTACTACAATAGGATGAGCCTAATTACCTGTGTATGTCTGTATGTGTGTGTGTGTGTGTGTGTGTGTGTGTGTGTGTGTATCAAAGGAAAAAAAGACTGAAAGGAAATATACCAAATAGTTCCCACTGGAACAGATTATGGAATATTTTGCCTTCTTTATTTTTCCTCAAGTTTTCTATAATAAGCATATGTAATTCTTATCTTCCAACTATATATGCATATTTGTCTATGTGAAAATAAAATAAGAATATGAAATGAAATATGAAAGTTTCATATGAAATTTTATATGAAATATGAAAAAAGCTTCAAAGCGAATCAGCAAATCACTCACATGGAGATGTTAGTTGAAATTGCAGAAATAAATCAGTCTGCACAGGGAGAGAGCATTATAAGAACAGGATGCTAAGCCAAGGCAAAAACCCATACTTAAGGGGCAAAAGACTGAGTTAGTGAAGGGGCATGGGAGGAAGTGGTTAGACTAGAAGATGGACAACCAGGTAAAGTCATGTCAAGGAAGCCAACTAAAAGAAATAACCAAAAAAGTTGTCCACTTGGTCAAGTGTTGCCAAGTGGTAACTAAGGAGGACAGTGACAGGGCCATTCCAGGGAAGTCACTGGGTAGGATGCAAGGACAGACAGGTTTCCTCCAGTGCTAGAGGTGGAAGCCAAATCTGAGCAAATGTTACCTAGTCAGTGAAACTGACTATGAGGAAAAGAAGTCCCAGGCCATTTGTTTAAATTTCAGTTTATGGGGCGCCTGGGTGGCGCAGTCGGTTAAGCGTCCGACTTCAACCAGGTCATGATCTCACGGTCCGTGAGTTCGAGCCCCGCGTCGGGCTCTGGGCTGATGGCTCAGAGCCTGGAGCCTGTTTCCGATTCTGTGTCTCCCTCTCTCTCTGCCCCTCCCCCGTTCATGCTCTGTCTCTCTCTGTCCCAAAAATAAATAAAAAACGTTGAAAAAAAAAATTCAGTTTATGTGGGGAAAAAAAAGATTGTGGAAATCTAAAACCGAGTAAAAGTATATCAGGATTACTAATCTATGGGCAATGAAACAAAAATTGGCAATACTTCGGAGTGCAAGAAAAAACATGTTTGAGTGCTTGTGAAACTTTCTAAACTCCATTAGAGGATGAATAAGAGAAAAAATAGCTCCATAGTTGTTATCAGAAAAAAAGTTGCATCTTTTCACCCCTAGAGATGGAAGTTCTTAGGTTTCAGTGTAGCATTATGAAGAAATTCTTTAAAAGAAAATAAAAAGAATGTAAAATATGATGGTATCATGTTAACTTCTCATGACTGCAAATGTGAAGTCTCTAGAAACATTTTCAAGGGTGAAGAAATCATTTGACATGCTAAATAATGGACTGCTTGTTGGGTCAAACCATGTCCTTTTAATAAAAAGAGGTCTCCATTAGAACAGTAACTTGACTGGGTCTCAAGGACTTTGCATCCAGCCACAGAATAAACACATCGGTATGGTTCTACCAAGAGTACCATTTACCACAGAATCTCAGTTCCACAATCATTAGGAAACTACTCAATTTACAACCACTCATTTGTTACTAAAGAACTTTAAGAGTCTGTGTTAAGTAATTTAACATCACCTGGAGATTACTGTACACAATCCAAAATAAAGTACTTTAACTGCCTATCACAAAACATAGTGAAAGACCATAGAAACCTTAAGAAAAAAAAAAAAAAGCTTTTTCTTATGGAAATTCCTGACTTAGGGACCAAGTCACACATTTTCCTATCTGCAGAAAGAGTGCAATTCCAATCTAAATAAAAGTCACCTATTTCTGAGTGTATGGAAGTAAGAATACTGAAAACCCGTTCTGCTGTCAATATAGACTGACGAATTCTCCCAATTTGTGGTTAGGTAGCCTTTTATGGCAAAGATGTCTAATGATCTCCTGTGCTCTCAAAATTCTTTTGTGTCTGTGTGTATATGTCTTTGGTGAACCCTTCTGGTACAGAAGCCCTAAGTCAGTTACAGTTGATTTTTGAAGAACATCAGGGGAAAGCGAAGAATTTGAAACCCCAAGAGGAACAATACTTAAAATTGAACTTGAAAGTATTTTAAGGGAAAAAGATAATTGTTACAGATACCGAAAATACATGCAAATACTGACTGGCTTTCCAAAAATTCCCAGTGAAACCACTTTCCCAGAGTGTAAACAGAAAGAAAGGAGGTAAGTAATTGTCAAAGAAATGTGTCCATCGAGTACCATGGCTCAAATTACCAAATGAGACAACCATCATCTGTTTTATTAACTCAGAATCTCTATTTAAAAATGAAAAACATAATCATATAGAAGGGACTGTATCATGTTCATCCTCTATATACTAGATCACTGGCACACAGCAGACAATTCATAAAAGCCTGAAGTTACATGGAAAGCGCTTAAGACTATCATAGACTTCAGATCATAAAGCTCTGCAAGGAATCTTCAAACACTTCTGACCCTTTCCTCTTTCGTTCATTTACCCATCCTGTCTCCCGACAGAAAGAAAGAAAGAAAGAAAGAAAGAAAGAAAGAAAGAAAGAAAGAAAGAAAGAAAAGAAAGAAAGAAAGAAAGAAAGAAAGAAAGAAAGAAAGAAAGAAAGAAAAAAAGAGAAAAGAAAGGAAAGAAGAGACTATTTGAAGGCACCTTAGCAAGAAAAAAATATCCTGTCATCATGATGCGCTGTTAATAGAAATATTTTCACTTCTGAAGCTTTCTCTTCTTAGAATTATTAGAAGGTTGAAATTTGGCCCACTTTTAACCAAAGTCTGGAACAAAACTGGACTGTACCAAGTTAAAGTTACACAATGAAGCAATTTTACAAAATGGCACTATTTTGCTAAGGTTGCCAATACACTATTCTATTCCCAGAAGTTCTACAGTTCAGGGACTACATGATAACAACACTTCGAGGCCCAATACAGAACAGTGAAAAACAGCTCCACCAACCATTAATGAACTACCACAGAATTAAGGACAAGTCTTAATTCCATCTTCAAAAGGCCATAATGTTGGCAGAACACCAGGTAGGACATATACGCAATACAAATGTCTGAGGAAAATACTTCACCAATACTCAAAGTTTTTTGTGTTGTTTATTTTGTTTACAAGGAAAAGTAGAAGAGGGACATAGCACTCTGGCCTCATCTCTAGCATAGCACTGATTTCACCAAAACTGTAAGTTTTATCTACTGATTCTGCCTAACTCATTTGATTTTAACTAAGCTTTTTTAGAGTAGGGATGTTCAGAACTTTTTTTTTTTTTAATGTTTGCTCATTTTTGAAAGAGAGCACGGAAGACAGAGCACAAGCAGGGGTGGGGCGGAGACAGAGGGGGACACAGAATCTGAAGCAGGCTCCAGGCTCCGAGCTGTCAGTATGGAGCCTGATGCGGGGCTCGAACTCACGAACCGTTAGATCATGACCTGAGTCCAAGTCGGACACTTGACCAACTGAGCCACCCAGGCGCCCAAAGTTTTTTCTTTCTTTCTTTCTTTCTTTTTTTTTTTAATGTTTGGGGATGTTCGGAACTTTGAATCCATACTATAACTGACAAAACGAGGCACTCAATAACTGTTTTGTCCAAAAAATGAAATAAATAAATTCCTAAATTATTTAATACCATGTTATGTATCGCTCTGTCGATGCAAAACAAGGAAATAGATGTGGACACAAAACTTTTTTTTTTTTTTAACCTTCTCTCCTGCCAATTCTATACCTTTTCGGAGGTCTACCTAAGACAATCATCCTATAGCCGGGTTATTACTCCACAGAAACTTAGAAAATGTTTGTTGAAGGTCATCTTCTTTTGTGTCTCCATCAGACCTCAGAAGAAAGTGTTATTTTATGGTTTCTGAAATATTTATCACTTGTGAATAGTATTAGTAACTATGGGGATAAAAAGTATTGTGTTTAACCATTTAAATCAACAGCAAAAGAAAGAATAATGCAAAAGAAGACCTCTCCCCCAAAGGGGTATTGTCTCAAGGCTGATAACTCCCTAAGTACTTTCACTAACTTGAGGAGCCAAGTCAGTAGAACCATCTGGATTAGGCAGACTTTTGAAAGCCGGAATTAGGTGAAAGACAATAGTAGTTCAAATATCTCTCACTAGGATCAGCTAAACTCGTTCTAAGCACCAGTAAGGAGGCAAGGAAGGACGCCAGATGGTTGGCTCCTAGCACGTACAACTTCAAGCTTAGTAGGTGTAGCCAGGGGTGTACAGTTACCTTATATTAACACCTACCTATATTGGTGACAGGTGTCAGTGATATATACGCGACAGCGATTCGGGGATGACACACTCAGCTGCAAGGACTGCTATATTCTCAACATGCCTCAAAGGGGTGTAAGTGTCTTAGAGTTCAGTAGGCAGCATGTAATGGGGAAAAATCGAAGACAGAGGGAATGGCTTTAAATGAAGAAGGGAAAAAAGCAGTTGAATATCAGAATATTTCCGTAGGAGACTATTTGGAATGTTGATGAACTGCCGCCTTCCTCCACCACACCAAAACTGTATATAGTTAGAAAGGAGTCTTCCCGATGGAAGAGGTGGTCCTATCAGCTCCGGCCCTCAGGCAGCAAAGATTCGGCCCTACATAATTACTCCCAAGACCAGCGCAGTACCTAGACATGAGGAAAAGAGCAAGAGGATCAGCGGTTCCTCTACGCTCTCTCTCTCTCTCGGCGGGGGTGGGGGGAAGGGGTTCAAGCTCCTGGTGCTACCCCTCGCCCCAGAAGTCGCTGGAGAAGGAGACTGTGGAGGGAAGCCGGGGTCTCGCGCACTCTTCGGCCGTGCAAGATGTGGACAGAGAAGGCCCTTACCTGGCTGAAGGCGGTCTTTCCTCTGTGCTGCTACCAGCGGGGCTACGGGTCCCAGGCACTCTGCCTTGCGCACCTGTCGCGACCCAGCTGCAACACCTACAGCTTCTGCGGCCCCGCCCCGGTCCGGCTCCGAGCCCCGCCCCACCCCGCCCACTGCCGCGGGGGCGCGCACGCCCGCCGGTCTCCCGTGCGGCCTCGGGGCGGGCGTGCGCGTCGCCGACTGCGTGCCCTGCCTTCTGGGCCGCTCGCGTGGCTCCTCGGCGCGCTGTGTTGGCGTCTTGGGAGGCGTGGCTGCTTTTCTAGAGGCAAAGTCTGAGTCTCCGCGCCTATCAGTGAGGGGTGCGCCTACCTTTTGTAGCCTTGAGCTTTGCGTTTCTCTGCTTTGGTCTTAACGCTGACCCAGAGTTACCGCAGTTTGACTCCGGAGCGACTGGGAGGTTTGACCTAGGTTCAACTGTAGGCCAGTCCCCAGCCAGGTTCCTGGTGCTTTCAGGGGTAAGTTTTGTGCAGGGAGAGTGATTTAGAGGAGGTGGCGTGGTGTAGTGGAAAGAGCTATAAATTAATCCAGATTCTACCGCTTGACGTTCATCAAGTCGCTTCACCTCACCAAGGCTGTGTAAATATGAAGGGGTTGGATGGGGCGGATCAAGTTCTTCGAACAGCTCGAACAGTTATTATTCCTTCGCTTAGCATTGGAGCTCTGTGAAAGATTGAGTACGTCAAGAGGCCTACCAGTGCGCCATCCTGACCCCGGATTCTTGGCCCAGTTCCGTGAGGCTGCGTGAGTGCCTCTGATAGAGTCCTTCCTTTTCCTGCACTGCAAAGGTTTCAGATCACAAGTTGTCTGAAGTTTTTTGGAACTCACGTAGCTTGATAAGTGCTACAAGGGGCTTGGGTTACTAAATGCCTATACTTACACTTCCTAAAGCAGTTAAGAGAAATACCTAATGAGGAATTTCCAACAGCAGATGATACATGGACCAATCCGTTGTTCCCTTCTTCCTTCAAATACCCAGGCTAGACTGATTGCTGAATAGGGTAGCAAGCATCAAGACTAGCAAAATTGGCCGGCGACATGGGAATGTAAAAGAGTATGCATATCAATATAGGATGGTACTCCAGAAGATGCATTCCCTTGCAGGTTTAGTTCCCTCAATATATGTCACAGACACACACCCAATTAAAAAAAAAAAAAAAAGCCAATAAAGGCCCTTATTCTCCGCTAAGAAGGCTATGAAACCTAACTGGGGTCAGAGTTTTAGACCTACATTTGAATCTCCACACAGCCACTTAACAACTAGGCAAATTACTCTGAACCCCTCCCTTAGTGCCCTTTTGAAAACAGAGCTAGTCCTACGCCACAGTTGACTTGTACTAGTTTGCAAGGCTCATTGCTAAATTTGGGGGGATTTTATGAGCCAGTTGTTAAGCTCAACCACTGTTAAAAATCAAATTATGTAAATTTACAATTAAATACGTTAAAATCAGGTAATAAATACTCAAAACTCGTCACTTTTTTACAACTTACTTTTACCAATAACTCTTCCTCTGAGAGCATTTGTCTGTTGTATCTTACGGATGGGAATGTATGCATCTCTTCCCAGCTCTGTTCAGAAAGGTCGCATTTGTAGTTTGAAATTGGCTTCGATAGGAACATTTGCATTGCAGAAATTGGCAAAAGTTACAAATGAGGGTTTAGTTTATTGTTTTGTTGATTTTCTAGGCCCAAGTGTCTACAACTTTTTCTGTAAACAAAAAGTAAATGTTTTAGGCTTTCTAGTACATATGGTCTTTGTCACAACTACTCAACTCTTACATTAAAAATGGGTGTGGCCAGGGGCACCTGGGTGGCTCAGTCGGATCTCACCAGGATGAGATGGAGCCCTCCAACTGGCTCCATGCTGGGCTTGGAGCCTGCTTAATTAAGATCCTCTCTCTCCCTCTCCCTCCACTTGTGCACGCTTGCTCTCTCCCCTCTCAAAAAAATGGATGTGGCTATGTTCCAGTAAAGCTTCATTTACAAAAACAGTCAGTAGTCTTGTAGAGAAAATGTTGAAAATGCAGAATTAAACTTTACATGTATCACATTCCTGGCCTTGACATTGTGAATAGCACAAAAAATTGAAGTAGTCTTTCAGTATTCAAAAACTATCATCCAATTCAGCAAACAAGTTGCTCATGTCATTGATAAATGAGTGAAATTCCAATACACTTCTTCACTATTTTACTTTTTTTTTATCTTACTGGTTAACTTAAATGAAAATATCAACCAACATCCATGTCTGAACCTCACTTTTTTTAAGTTTATTTGTTTTGAGAGAGGGAGTGGGTGCACATGTTAAGGGGGGGCGGGGAGGGGGAGAGGCAGAGAGAATCCCAAGCAGGCTCTGCACTCTCAGTGAGGAGCCTTGGTGTGGGGCTCAAACCCATGAACCGTGAGACCATGACCGGAGCTGGGACCAAGAGTATGATGCCCAACCAACTGAGCTACCCAGGTGTTCCTGAACTACACTTCTTTGACAATGATGTGTCTTTTTTTTTTTTTCCTGAATAAAATTGTAATTAAGCATTTATTCATAGTCTGATTTTGTGAAATGTTGGAAAAAGAGTGAACCAAACCAATGGATTTTCAAGAAATAGCAAGTCACACAAAGTATAGGTATAGGCCAAAAAGCAAAGTATTTTAGTTTAAAATCCTGCCAAAGACTCCATCAAAAAAAAAAACTGAGACTAATAAATGAATTCAATAAAGTTGTTGGTACAAAATCAATACACAAAAATCTGTTGTTTCTCAACACTGATAATACACTATCAGGGAAATAATACCATGTACAATTTCATCAAAAAGAATAAAAAACCTAGGAATAATTTTAACCAAGGAGGCAAAAGACCTGTATATTGAAAACTATAAGACATTAATGAAAGAAATTCAAGAAGACAGAAATGGAAAGATATTCTTTGTGGATTGGAAGAACCAATATTGTTAAAACGTTCATACTATCCAATGCAATCTATAGTTTCAATGCAATCCCTATTAAAATTTCAATAGCATTTCTTTTTTTAAAAAAATTTTTTAACGTTTATTTATTTTTGAGACAGAGAAAGGCAGAGCATGAACAGGGGAGGGGCAGAGAGAGAGGGAGACACAGAATCTGAAACAGGCTCCGGGCTCTGAGCTGTCAGCACAGAGCCCGATGCAGGGCTCGAACTCCCGGACCGTGAGATCATGACCTGAGCCGAAGTCCGACACTTAACTGACCGAGCCACCCAGGCACCCCTGGCATTTCTTAATATAATACATAATCCTAAAATTTGTATGGAACCACGAGAAACTCCGAGTAGCCAAAGCAATATTGAGAAAGAAGAAAGCTGCAGGTATCATGCAACCTGATTTTAAACTATATTTATAAAGCTACAATAATTAAAACAGCATGGTATAAAAACAGACACATAGAATGGAATAGAGAGTCCAAGAATAAACCCAATAAATGTACAACAAAAGACTCAAGAATACATAATAAGTGAAGGACAGTCTCTTCAATAAATGGTGCTGGGAAAACTGGACAGCCTCGTGTGGAAGAATGAAACTCAACCACTATTTTACACCATACATAAAAATTAATTTAAAATGGATCTGAAACCATAAAACTCCTAGAAGAAAACTTAGGTGGTAAGCTCCCTGACATATATCTTGGCAGTATTTTTTTTATTCTGATACCCAAAGCAAAAGCAACAATAGCAGAAATAAATAAGTGGAACTACATCATACTGAAAAGCTTTTGCAAAACACAGGAAACCATCAACAAAATGAAAATGCATCCTACTGAATAGGAGAAAATATTTGCAAATCATGTATCTGATAAGGGCTAATATCCAAAATATATAAAGAACTGATAAAATAGTAACCAATCCAACTTAAAAATGGGCAGAAGTTCTGGATAAATTTTTTTTTCCAAAAAGACTTACAGATGGCCAACAGATACATGAAAAGATGCTTAATGTCTTTAATCATTGGAAACGCAAATCAAAACCACGATGAGATGTCATTTCACACCTTTAGAATGGCCATTTTAAAAAAAACACAAGAGGTAACAAGTGTTGGTAAGGGTGTGGAGAAAAGGGAACCATTGTGCACTGTTTATGGGAATGTAAACTGGTGTAGCTATTATGGAAAACAGTATGAATGTTTCCCCAAAATATTAAAAATAGAACTACATATGATCCAGTAATTCCACTTTTGTGTCTATACCCAAAGAAGACAAAAACACTGACTCAGAAAGATCCTCATGTTCATTGAAGATGCTTTGAAATAAAAGAAGGCAAATTAGGATGTAAGGATGATTTGATAGTTTAGCATTTAGGAGTGACAGCAGAAAAGCATGTCCATGGGTCCAGGGAATGGAGGGCATATTTAGTAATCCCAAATGGTACTAATAAAACTAGACTTTCCTGAAAGGAAGGAAGAAAGAAAGAAAGAAAGAAAGAAAGAAAGAAAGAAAGAAAGAAAGAAAGAAAGAAAGAAAGAAAAGAAAGGAAGAAAAGAGAAAACTATTTTTCTAAAGACTCTAATAAGATCCAAGATTTGTGAAAAGAATCAACTGGTCAATTTCTAACTTAGTGTATAAACTAAATAATAAAAATATTGATAATATCATAAAAGTTTTTAATAGTTTTTACAGTTTAATAAGACATAATAAGCCTTTTTCTGATAGGAGGGCAATAATATTTTAAAAAATGGAGTAGATACAGGCAATTGTTTACATACCTGGTACAGTGCAATGAGAAAAACAGAAGATAGAACAAAAGAAATTATATGAAAATATTTAGGAATATTATAGAAAAGAATTCCAGGTATGTGCTGTAATTGATTAGGCATCTACATTTTTGAAGAAAAGCACCCAGTGAATTATCTGCAGTACACAATTGAGTCAGTTTTTGTACTGGTAATATTTGTTGCTTTAAAAGAATTTGTGTCAGCCACAAAGGAGTGTATTTCTGATACATTATTGTCTACTTGAAATGATTGTGACTTTGATAATGTTTGAAAGAGAACTTAATTGCATTTTGTTCTAATGGTATTTGTACAATAGTGGGAAGGAAGTCTGAAGTCAAGCTACAAATTTGTTAGAAAATTTTCCTGAAGTCGTCATTTGGCACCAAGTTGTCGATTACAATTCTGTATTTGAAATAAAATAAGTCAATAATTTTAAAATATTCTAGATAAAATTTAGTCTAACACCAATACAATCCAATTAAAATTGAGTTAAAAACTGTAAAGAACTTGACATTATTAAAACTGCTTAAGTGCTGAGGTTGAAATGGGTGGCATGTAGTTTACAAACTGCCACTGCTGTATGTCAGGCATATTCTTCAATATATGTGCATTTTTCTCACTCTTTTTATTCTGCTTTAGCAAAGAGATTGGCTAACATTAATTTGTTGTAAGACCTTGCTTTAACGATTGACATTTTTTTTTTGAGAGAGAGAAAGAGAGCATGAGCAGGGGGAGGGACAAAGGGAGAGGAAGAGAGAGAATCTTAAGCAGACTCCACGCCCAGTGAGGAGCCCCACACAGGGCTTGATCCCATGATCCTGAGATCATAACCTGAGCT